GCAATAATCTGGAAAATTCGCAGGGTGATGTGAATTGGGTGGTAGCAGGGAGGACAGATGGCCCCAAGTGAGTTCATTTCATTCAGGAACCAAGTATATATACAGTGTTACCTTGGGTTACATACGCTTCAGGTTACAGACTCCGCTAACCCAGAAATAGTACCTCGGGTTAAAAACTTTGCTTCAGATGAGAACAGAAATCGTGCAGCAGCAGCGCAGCAGGCCCCATTAGCTAAAGTGGTATCTTAGGTTAAGAACAGTTTCAGGTTAAGAACAAACATCCAGAACGAATTAAGTTCTTAACCCGAGGTACCATATTCTCAGCTGCCTGTTTCATTAATGTGCTACTCACAACCGAGTAATGCAACTACTTAAAAAGTTTTCAGAGCAACTATAATGTGCCATCACCATTTTGTGCGTTACAAAAAAGAAGAGGGAGGAGACTGTTAATAGATGAAAGAGAGGATATGGAAAGATGGACACATAAAACAAAGCATTAAAAGTGGCTCCCCATGTTACCACATGGGATTAATTCCAGGTAGTGCTGTGACAATATCCAATATCCAAATGTTTTCTTCTCCAGTGAAAGCAGATTCAATTTTTCCGTCTCATTTGCAACACACTTCAAAATTTCTTTATAATTTTGGTTGGTGCAGTATTGAACTTACCTTATTGTTGTGAGGTAGCCATAGGTAGTGTGTGTGTGTGTGTGTGTGTGTGTGTGTGTGTGTGTTCCCATTAAACATCCCTCCAGGCCTCTGCAGCCTCCCTAGCTGCTTGTACTTCCTGATCTGAAAAAAGCCCATGGGAAAAGTTACCTTATGCAGCCTACCCCTGGGCTTTAATTTCAAGTGCAGGTAGTCAGACGTCTGGCTACCAAGTGACCTCAAGACAGAAGAATAGTCCTGCTGGATCAGGGCCTAGGCCCACCTTGTTCTCACAGTGGCCAACCAGATGCCCATGGGAAGATCCTGCTTTTAAAGGAAGGCCTTTTAGAAAAAGCTTTAAAAGTAAATTTGCTTCACTTTAAAGAAATAACCATGACTGGCTATCAAGTACACAGTAGACAGCCTCCTCAGCTTCCCAAATGTACAGGAAAGCCCAAATGAGGATGTCATGGGGTTTTGGGAAGGCTGCAGAATGTTGACCACCGGAGAGGTGATTTATAGAATGAAAGAAGAGACAGGCCACAAAACCCCTCAGCTGCCTTGAAAGCAAGGTAAATGCAGCAAAAAAACAAAACAAAACAAAAAACCCCTGCATACCATCCATTTGATAATAGATAATTTGTCTACACAATTTATTTTCTCATTAATTGATGGGCAGTAAATTTTAAAATGCAGGATATATTTTGGGCACCTTATTAATTCCAAGTTTTGAAAAGATTGAACATTACTGATCTTTGTTAGTTCAGTGAATTTCTTTTTCCTCTCTGTTTTTCTACACTGATCAAGCCTTCCATGTTCTATAGGAACACAGGAAGCTCCTTTGTACTGAGTCAGACCACTGGTCCATCTAGCTCAGTATTGTCTACTTTGACTGACAGCAATTCTCTAGGGTTTCAGGAAGGAGCTTTTTCCAGCCCAGCCTGGAGACACCAGGGATTGATCCCGGGATTTTCGATTCAATATAATCAATCTATGAATCACTTCACACAGAAAGAGCCCCGAAGTGATTTAGAACACACACACACACACTATGATAAAAAATAAATTAAATCAAAGTAAATATACTAAAAGTGTTAATTCTAAAAAGTCAGCCAACAATATAAAAATAACCACCCAGCCCACATAAGGATGAATACTATTTTTTAAAATATCAAAAACAGACCACTAATGATGTCCACTTCTGGGAGAATAAAAATGGTGCCAGAAAGATGATAAGTTGGCATCAGGCAAGCGTCCCTCTGGAAGGCATTCCACAACTGAAGCGTTGCCACAGAAAAGGCCCATCGGTTTGGTTGGGGCACACAGGGTCTCAGATATTGATCTCAGGTTCCATGTGTGTTCATATGAGAAAAAGTGGTCCTTAAGGTACTGGGGTCACAAGACATGCATGGCTATTTAGGTCAAAACCAGCACTCAAAAACAAATTGGCAAACAGTGTGAGCTTCAGTTTGGTGACCTGCATCAAGCCCATTAATGAGGTCAGATATGAGTTTAGCACACCAACCACCACGCCTGCTTGCAGCGCGAAGGAGAAACAGAGCCCTGCATTAACAACATACTGATGACAACATCATCAGATATCCAAAACTCCAGGTCAATGAGTATCAGTGAGGACACACTCCCCATGTCTCATTTACTTCAGTGAAGGGTGGGCGGATCCATAAATGCAAAAGGATGCTTCCTTCATTGAGATGGATTGAACATGTGACCTTTGGTGACCAGGCAGGTCTGGATGAGAGAAGGCAGCCTCTCAGGTAACACAGTGCACAGTTGTTCAGGGCTTTATTGGCAGCTAAAACAATTCCTTTAACAGGACTGCCCCATGCTGATGATAGGTTGTTCCACCTAGCAAACTAGCAACTATATTTTGCACCAGCTGCAGCTTCTTACCAACCTAAAGTGAAGGCCCAGAAAGATTTGTCCAATCTTGACCATTCCTGGCCACTGTGTCTAAGTTATCTGGGTCCATGGACAGTTGTAGCTTGTGTATCAGCCAATACCGGTCATTTTTAGTCACTGAGGCCACATGGATCTCAAGAGACATAGCTGGATCCAAGAATACCCCTTCAGAGTAAGTGCAGTCCCCATGAGAACAGGCAACTGACCTATACCCTGGACCCAGGAACCATTCACACATGGGGCCTTCATTTGGCCAGAATTCAGTCTGTTTATTGGCTTCTTATCCATCCCACCATTACAATGGTCTATGACTTGAGCAGCCACACCTGATGCAGATGGAGCAGAGAAAAAGAGCAGTGATTTATTTCAAAGGATGTCATTTTATTCCATCTATGATCAGATCAGCTCCAGTTGTGATCATAACACAATAACAACTGGTGTGTGTTTAGAGAAAACAATGTCTTCTGTAATCTCACTCTGTTCCAGAACCAATAAGTCTCTGTGTGTTTTAATGTTTTTATTCCTTTGCTTCCTGAATAATTTCTAACACAATGATGAAAAGAAACTCGTTTTGGCAAGTATTCAGAGTTCTTTGATGTAAGAGGCAGAAACAGAATGAGCCACTTATTGGAAAACAAACAGTAAAGTTGTCATATTAAAGAAAGGATCTTCAATTTATATTTATGAATTAATAAAAATGTAAATCTACATAGATTTTAGTCAAACAAAAATATTTTTACCATGCAGGTAGTTTATTTTGAAAATTATCATAATTTCTTTTCAGATGATTACCACAGGAACCTTGAATGCTAATATCAATTACTGGTGAGCAATTTCAAGTGACATTTGGGTCAACTTTAAAGTTTGTTAAAGACACACTCAAAACTTTTCCAAATTTAGAGAGCAATCTATCAAGCACTGCTATTGTGTAAACTTAATCCTATCAACTATTAGTGTGTTCCATTTCTGTGGAATTTCCAAGGTTGCAGAGCAGCAGGTCTTTATAATGTGCCACACCTTTAAAAGACAATTCCGAAATGTCTGTATTTGTCCATTGGTATCTATGGTTGTCCTTTCTTCCATTGCTGAGTAGGAAATGGGGCAATACTTCATTCCAGAACTTTGCCAAGAAGATCTTAGTTCCAAAAATGCAATAAATAAATGTGTTTTCACTTTGTAAAGAACTAAAACACAGTAAGAAGGCCATTAAAGAAGCATATCAACAGGTGCTGAGAAAAAAGAAAAGAAAGATCTTCCAGAAGAGGGAGAATGGGGGGTGGGGACCCAGAATGCGAACCCACAAATAAATGGATTATATTGGGCTTTAACAGGGAGCAAAACTATGGTGATACACCAGATGTACAAAAATGAACAAAATACTCGTACACTGAAAATAATTAATTTTCCATAGTACCTGAAATACTTCTGCAAGTGCTGGATTCTCCAAACCTTGACATCATAGCGGTAAGAACAGTTAAATTATCAGTGGCCAATTGTGAACGCATCCATTGCTAATTATAGGACCCATTTACACCCCAGTTGGACAGGCCACCATGGAATTATAGTATTAATCTTTGCACTTTTTGGTCGTTTTGCAGTGAGGACCACTGTGCAAGATTTGCTGCAACAAACTAACATGGCTATCCCTCTGAGAATGTTGCCATTCCTGATACTACAGCTGCGGGCATAATAATGCTCATTTATTTATTTATTAAATATATTTATAACCTCCCCTTCATTGATACAGTATCAGACCATCAGACAAATAAATCGACTAAACAGTGGTGACACAAGGTCCTGCTGAGACAGGAGCTGATGATATCCTAACCAATAGTAATGAGGGTGATGGTACTACTGTGGTCACTTTCAAGCTTGCTGGGGTTGCTGTTCACTCAGCATCATCAGAAAACATGGCTTATTATTGATCATTGCAGGAGGTTCCATAGCCAGTACAGTTTATGCTGAAGAAACCAAGGAAGATAAGACTGATGGCACCAAGACAGACGGGTTAATTGGAGCCCTTAGATAGTTACCACACATTTAGAGAAAGAGACACAGACACACATGCTTGAAGGAACCTCTGGATAGAGTTCCAGAGGCTCGTAATGTTTATTTGTTGGGATGGCAGTAAGAATAGTGAACTAAAATGTAGAAGACAAACAGGAGACTGAAGCAGAGAAAGTGTTTGAACCATTTATATTGTAGATAAATTGCCATTTATTGGCAGTGCCATTTTTCTAGACAAAGAGGTGCTGGAACTCACCACAAACACCTCCCGCCTCTTAGAATGGCAATGGTGCCCACCTGAGAGGTGTCAGACCTGAGTTCCAGTGAGTTCCAGCTGAAAAAAGCCCTGATGGGATCATAGAATCATAGAGTTGGAAGGGACCCTAAGGATCATCTAGTCCAACCCCCTGCAGTGCAGGAATATGCTGCTGCCCCATACAGGGACCAAACCTGCAACCTTGGCATTATTAGCGCCATGCTCTAACCAACTGAGCAATATCTAACGGTGATGATGGAAATACTTAAAAAAAAGAGTAATAGCTTCCAGCGGTTCTCAACCTATGGGTCCCCAGATGTTGTTGGACTACAACTCCCATCATCCCTAGCCAGCAAGGCCAGAGCTCAGGGATGATGGGAGTTGTAGTCCAACAACATCTGGGGACCCACAGGTTGAGAATTGCACTCTTCATGTTTACTGACAATCTTATTTGATGGATATAAAGGTGTTCTGGGTGGGGGAAATGTACATGCAATATTTGCACGGCTAGCAAATGTTGGTAACAATTGTGTTTATATTTTGTTTATAATTGTGATTATATTTTTGACATGTCGCCACAGGCTTTTTATCAGAGTCTAAATTTCTATCCATTGGATCTCTTATTACAATGAACCCTCTTCATCAGTGAGGCACTGAATTTTCTTGGATAACATAACTCAGCATAGGAAAACACGGAAAGTGGGGACAGACAGGCTAAAAAACAATATGAGCAAAAAAAAGGCAACGCTGCTAAATTTGTTTAAATCCTGGATATCCAACACCTAACATGTTTGAAGTATACCTTCTTGAGGGGGGGAAATATAGCTCATTGAGTTTTTCATTAGAGCATTACCGGTATATGCTGGGCATTTTACCTCTGATTCAATATCTTATACATAGCTCAGTACAGATGCCATTTTTTAAAAAAACCAAAATTGTAACATTTGTTGTATGATCATTGATCATTTCTACCTTTAGCAGTAGCAGAAGCTGTGAGTAATGTAAGGATTTACATGGTGCCCTGTTATTATGAGCTAGTCTCATCAAGATGTAAATTATACTTTAGTCATCTACAATGACGTTAAGGACCACGTTTACTAGAAAGGTGTGGGGCTATAACTCTCCAGCACAAATTTCTGAAGACAGAAAGTGTGGATTTCTTATAGGCAAAGTTTGAACATTACAGTTTGGGGGTGGGGGAGGCCTATTTTGTGATCTCTTCCACCTACCAACTATGTACAACATGTGATTAAAGCTGAGTTCCCCCAGCACTTTCTTATTTTGATTTGAGAAAACCATTATGCATTATGCTGTTTCAATCACCACAGGCTACTTTTTTTCAAACTGCCCCACTGTTTTCAACAGGCGCCAATTAAGATTCTGGGGTCAAAGAGTTAATTACATCTTCTTACCCACTATGTAGAATTTTCTGATTATTAAACAAGGTTGGATTAAGATGAAAAAGTACCGACACAAATGTTAATGCGTGCCCCTCCTCAAGAAGATTTATCATAATACCATGCTGAAATCTTTTTTTTTTCTAAAGCAGTTTGAGGGGGGGAAATCTGAGAGGAAACACTACTAAAATAGATGCTTTTAAGGCATGCAAGTATCTGATTAACAGAGACAGTTTTCTTATTCCTGAAAACAGCTCTAAGCGAGTCAGACAGCAATGATGGGAGATTTTCCTTGTCAGATCTCAGTAAGTCTATATGGTCGACAGGAGGCAAATTATTTTCAGATGTAAAGAGAAGCTGTGGCATATCTAAATAATGATGCTAGTAATTATAATTTATGTTATGTGAATTAGAATAATGTGCAAGGCAGATGTGTAAAATGCTATTGGTCGTGCTTGTTGCTCAACCACAGAGGTTCCAGAGGTTCTAGTGTTTCCATTTATTTTGGCATGGCCCACTCTTTCTTTTTGTCTTTTGCATGTCACCTTGAGCACGTCTGTACAGAGCACTAATATGCTGATGAACTATTAACCAACTTCTCAGCTACACCCCCTTTGATACCTATTAGACAGTCGAGGAAAGAAGCTTTCGATCTTGAAGATGGTGAAGTACCTGCATCTGTAAGAACATAAGGTCCACCTAGCCCAGCATCCTGTTACCAACACTGGTCAACCAGATGCCTATGACAGGAGTGGAGGACACGTGAACATATGTTGCTGGCCTGCAATTCCCATCACCCCTGACCACTGGCTATGCTGGCTGGAGCTGATAGGAACTGGAGTTCAACAATATCTGGCAGGCCACAAGTTCCCATTCCTGGCCTATGGGAAGTCCTCAATCAGGATATGGCCACAAAAGCTTTATTGCCACTGTTGTTCCTCACAGACTAGCATTCTGATGCCGGAGAATGTGGCTTGGCTACAGCTACTGACAGCCTTATCTCTAATTCCCTTTCAAAGCTGTCTAAGTTTATAGCCATCCCCACATCCCGTGGTAATGAATTTAAGAGTTTAACCGTATGTCATGTGTAGAGGTACTTCCTTTTGTCTACCCTAAATCTTCCACCATGTTTAGGTCCTGAAAACAGTTTTCCTATTCCCTTTCTAAAAGTGTACATAGCGTTCCATAATAATCTTTTGCATGTGACTAATGCTTCTGGGGTGAAGTACACACCACACTTTCAAACCACATGGTTTCCTAAAATAATCTTAGGAACTGTCATTTGCCCCTTACAGAGCTAAAATTCCCAGCACCCTTGCCCACTGCAGTGAAGGTCTCTGGATCAGGGCTTCAGTGTTTATCGTAGTGTGTTGAAGGGTCATTTTGCCAAGGAAATTTTGTCCTTGCAATTTTTGAGGTATTTTTTGGATTATAAGGAGGAAAATACCTTGAAATTTTACTACAGTGTCCTTCTAAGGAACATCCTCATATGTTACACAGTATCCATGAAGTCCCTAATTCCTTCCACTGTATGTCAACACTACAAAAAAATCCTGTTACTCTGACCTAAACTCCAGTTAGAATGAAGGATTACCAGTAGGCTAGGCTATTTTAATGACAGATTATTTTAAACTAAGCCTTCACCATCTGTTCCACTCCCTAATTATGAATGCAAAAAGAACATATTTCACAATTACATCAGTTAAAAGAAAGATATACATGATTTAAATGTGTGCTTGTGTTCTTTGCCCAATGCAGCCTGCATCTGTGATGCTCCCCCATAATTCAGGCTCCAATCAGTGGGAAAACCACTCGCTCCTGATAAATAGATTTGCTGATATACTAAACTTTTCCTTGGCAAACAGATCATCTTAATTAGAATTTTCTACTGTTAAGACATAATTATATTATAACTGGAGCTAAGCATTAATTTGAGCACAATGCCTGCCACCAATATATATATATGTAGCAGTCAAAAATTGCTAAGGTATTTTACCCCTACTAAAGACAGGCCAAGCTCGATGTGGATAGCACCCCACCAAGTAAGTTGTCTCTTTTTGCACCAAAGTAAACTAAATGCCTAATTAATACCAATCAATAAATTAAATTCTCTCACCTGTAGTTTGGATAGAGATTGTGGGGGTTTTTTTAATCCCACAGTGGATGATAATGAATTAACCAGTGTCAGGATGCTTATCAGCACCATTTTATGAATGGTCACTGCAATCATTCTACATACATCTAAGCTTTGATGCTGCATTTAATTTTCCTCTATCCTACGGACAATGCTATTTTCTTTCTCTGAATCCTTGTAACCAGGTATCTGCTAGTTCAGGATGACATACTGTGCACCTGATTCTATGAACTGTAGCCCACAAAAACTTATGCTGCAACAAATTTGATAGGCATTAAGGTGCTACAAGACTCTTTGTGTGATGACCCTCAAGTCAGGGATAAAGACGCAGAGTTAGCAGCTTTAGAGTCATTAACTGAAGAGCCAGGCTGATGACCAGAGGACCATTAAATCCACTGCTGGTTGGTGAGGGTCTCCTGAACCAGACCCCACAGCACCAGGGCCCACAGAGCCTGAGCCAGGATACTCACACAAACCTTCTCCTGGGCCTGAGGAGCTGACTGTCTCCCAACCTACCTGACCTGTCCAACAGGGCAGGGAATGCATCAGGTACGGTACTAGGGAGATGTACTGGCAGATCGCAGATTCTGAGGAGTTTCAGGTGTTATATAGCAATACCGCTTGCATGCCCAGAGATCCTGTGGCTACTGTGGCCTTTAAGAAGTTAATCCTGCTTCTTCCTTGGTCTTCTGTGAAATATATTATACCCTGAAATGGTACCATGTGGGAATTCTAATCTCTAGATTAGCCTTAGCACAGTCCCATAGTGGCATCTGGTAGAAGTATCTGCTCGTCTCAAGAGTTATCTATGTTGGCCGCTTGCCATACATGAAGCACTTCTCCAGTCTTGTAAGAATATATAAACACTGTCAAGGCTGCTGATGTACAACCCAAATACCAAAGGTGATTATGTAATATAAGTCCCAAGAACACATCTGTTATCTGAACTTCAGTGCAGACCTACAGCCAGCAAGGTGCTGAACACCAGCTGTTAGGAGTCATGTCCGCTGCCATTCAGGGGGTTCCCAGCAGCCCAAGGAAAGGATGCAAGCTTTGCTTTGTTCTTTAGTACCACTTGGTAATATTTATTAAAGAACAGACCCAGTGTGCTTTGTTGTCTTGTCCAAATCCAAAAAGAACCTCTGCCCCTTGGCAGAACAGAAGTATAAAATAAATTTCCATGTGCAGGCCAGAGAGTTGCACTTCTCACAAAGCGGGTGGAACACAGGAGAGATGAACTGAGAATAGAGGGAACCTGCTTATTCCCAGCTGTGTGTACTACCTACACTGGACAATGTTTTTTAAAACTGCATCAGACTAAACAACAAATATGCTGTGCTACAAAAAATCTACATAAAACAATTACCTATTTAGAGCACATCACTATTAAAGGTTTGTTTGTTTGTTTGTTTATTTAATAAACTTTTAAAATGGCATCCCATTGAATTAGAAAGCCCTCTCAAACTTTGTTGTTCTCAATATGCAACAACATCATAAAAGTACCTTAGTGACAATTGGCTTTGAGGCTTTAGGGCCCACCTACTGTTTTATCACTGCTAAAATGTCACTATAGCAACCCACAATTTCTCCAATAAATGGAGCTCAGCATTGCTAATTATTGTAGAAAAAATAGCAACAGTGACCTGGGCCTGCTATGTAAATACAAAGTGATATGGAGTGTATTTTAGCTTTAGATAACCTAGCTCTGTTTGGAAAACCAATAAATGTCATCAGTGAAATAGAGAACAATTTAAATGGCCAGAAAGCTGTTTTTCCTCTGCACTCTCTGTAACAAGATTTCTGGAAATAATGAATATGTAATATATAGACAATTAAAAAGAATCAGGAACTGCATGAACTAAGGAATCAACCAACAATAGCAACTGAAATTAGGGAACAGAATGGGTCCCACAATGGTCTGGACAAATGAAGAAAATGGAAGATAAAAGATATGAAAAATGTTATAATTGTAACGGGGAGGGTGATCCAGAAGAAAAAAACCCCAAAGGATGGCAAGAAGAGTTTGGATTTGATATCCCGCTTTATCACTACCCGAAGGAGTCTCAAAGCGGCTAACATTCTCCTTTCCCTTCCTCCCCCACAACAAACACTCTGTGACGTGAGTGGGGCTGAGAGACTCCAAAGAAGTGTGACTGGCCCAAGGTCACCCAGCAGCTGCATGTGGAGGAGCGGGGAAGCGAACCCGGTTCACCAGATTATAAGTCTACCGCTCTTAACCACTACACCACACGGGCTCACAAGCTGTGGATGGCGCTGGATGCAGATCTTAGTAAATGGTAAATGGAAAGAAAGGAGTAATGGGCCTTGTACTTCAAAGAATCTTCTGAAGTAGGTACGTGGTCCAATTTTGATTGTGAAGCCAGCTGAGTTAATGGTCAGCTGACCAACAGGAACATCATGTGATTAAGGATTTGGGGGTTGCCAGTTTGCAAGGCTGAAGAAAGCATAAATAAAAGGGAAATTTCTTGTCTTATGCAAGGAAGAGCCCTGGCTGCTTCATTCAAGCTAAAAGGGAAGGCCAGTGTGGAAACAGGGATTCCAGTTCAAGGTAACTAGCCCATGAATCTGTTGTTGTTGTTAACCCAGATTTTGCCCAAAGGTCCCAGGGCTGGTTAAAACAATTAAAAGATGATGTTAAAAACAGCTTTGAACAATTTATAACCACATAAATAGGGTGAGTCCTAAAATATATATTTAAAGTGTCAAAAGCCAGGGTGAAGAGGTGTGTCTTCAGCATTGCCAGAAGCTCTTATAATGAAGATGCCACCCACACTTCTGTGTGAAGGGAGTTCCACAATAGCCCTTGCCTCTCCTGGGATACCACCACCCCGAGCTACTGAGGGCGGTGAAACAACCAACAGAACCCCTTTGCCAATCTGAACACCTGAGAGGTGTGTTACACAACAGCTTATAAACCGATAATCAAACACTTTGTCCAACAACACAATGTCTTGAAAAACTTCTTGCTCATTATGTAGTTCATCTAACTGAGCTCCCTCTCCTCTCTCTCTTCAAATTCTTCAATACTTGCTGATGTTCAGATTATAATGAAAGTTAATCAGAAATCAAAATTTCTTTTTTACCTCAGGGATCTACAAAGTAGCAAGGCAAAGAGGGCAGTGCTTTTAATCCAAAGTGATTTATTTGGAACAGTAATATTACGGTAATCGAATAACAAGGAGAGCATTTTACTCCAGAAAATAAGTTGCTACTCCTGAAAAGTTTGATTTAGTGGCTTGAAGTCAAAAAAATGTCAAATGCTGCAAAGATCCTGTTGGGCTTCAAATGAATATTTTCAAAATTAAAGTCTCCTTGAAGAACAAAATTACACAGCAATGACATTTAAGCCAGTTTTCCTGAAACTTATTCTTATTAAGTTGTTTATTCTCTTTTCACCGGCCTGTTGCACAGTGTGTACAATGAACAATGTCTCTTCTCCCCCCACCCAAAGCCAATTATATCACCAAACATGGAAGTGAATTGCTTAGTGCAGTGGTTCCCAATTAGGGGTGTGGGGACCCCTGGGGGTCCACGGAACACACCCAGGGGGTCTGTGGCCCCATTTCTTTCCTTCGCCCCCCAACTAATTTTTGGTCATTTTTGCATGGTAATATCACAGATTTTATTATCTGTTTTAACGCTGTGCAATTTTTCAATATATTGGCCAAAATCAGTTTTGAAACCACACTGCGATAATGATTTTGATAATGATTTTGCTCCTTGCACAAGGGAAAACAGGGCAGCCCATTTCCAGACACTGCCAATATCACAAGAAGATTGCATGTGTCTGACATCAGCATGCCCACGGCATGTGCTGACATCCCACACCTGGGTGCATTTTTGCGAGGGGGCGCGACCTGGTGTCTCCCCCCCCCCCAGGCTCCCTCATTGGAGCCTGGCTCCGAGCAGCAGCTCCTCTCTCAGGTCAGGTCTGACCCAGGGGCAGAGGGGAGGGGAAGCAGTGGTGGTGGCAGCAGTGGGTTGCACGCAAGAGGGAGCAGCCAGCTCCCTCACACTCAGCTCCAGCTGTGCTGTGGCAGAGAGTCGAGGCAGCAGTCGAGGCAGCGGTTGAGGCCTCTTCATGGGGAATGTTGTGGGGGATGGAGCCCCCAGAGCCCCCTGCACCTGCCACCTATGCCTCACACTGAAGGAAAACAGGGCAGCTCATTGCGGGGCACTGCCTTCCCCTGGCAGAGAACGGGGCAGCTGATTGCCCTCACTTCAAGGCACCAGGGCACTACCTTCCCCTGGCACTGAGGCAGAGCAGCTTTTCTTAGTCAGCAGGAAAGTTGCAGCAGCCACAGTGCAACTGCATCTTCACTGGCTGCCCCGCTGACTGACTGCGGCTTGATCCCCATCCCCTCTCACTCAGACCATGAGGTGGAGGTAACTCCCTTTCCTCTCCCCACCCATCCGATCTCTGCAGCTGCTCCTTCCCTCATTCCCATGCCTGATCTCCAATGTCAAACATTGTGATATATCGGAATATTGCAATGTTTAGCTGCTGATATATAACAATATTGAAAACCAGATATTGCTCAGCCCTTGTCTGGTTGTTGTTTTTTTAGTATACCTAAAATCCTTTGCTTATTAGGGGATACCCCACATTTTGTTCAAAAAATTGCTTTGCAGAGGCAACTACTGTAGAACTATCGAATTTTTCAAAAGTAGGGGGTCTGTGGCTTGGCTTTTGAAAAATAGAGAGTCCTCAGTAATTAGCTAATTGGGAACCACTGGCTTAGCTTAGTCCTGACATTGCGACAGTAGCTAAGCAGAGGAAGATCTGTTGGTAAAGTCTACTGTGCGGATAAAACTACTGGTTGGACGTGGTTTGATGTTTCATGCAATGCTAGCACAGTGAAAGTCAACCAGAGGGATAGGTTATTTTAATTTATATGTTAGGCTTCACTAGGATTAAGGTTTTAATAGTCTGATGACCTGCTGTGGCATGAAGCTCTTGGATGGTTTTAAATTCCAGATAGTGTATGGAGGGTATCTATGCAAACAGCTTTCACTGAGTTGATACGCTGAATAGAAGAGTAGATATACTATAACAGGAGAAATGCCTCTATTGAATTCCATGATTTCTAGAGCCCCATATTCACATTTGATATGATAAATGCATTTGCAATATTTGCCATCGCTTCAACAATATCAAAATATTTGTCACTTGTATTCTGTGCAGCTGGATTGAAAGTATGCAATAACATGTATATTTCTCCTACAAAGAGGAGCTGTATCATTTTTTAAATTACAAAGGACTGCATTGCTAGGGACTTGCATTGAACCTGTTCTAATTCTTATTGTGGCTGAAAACATAAAACATACATCAATATAAACCTCCAAGGTGAACTTTTAAAAGGAAGAAATTAGAAGCACTTTTTGAACAAAGTATTTGTATATTGAAGGAGAGATGTATGAGGAGGGAGAAAGAATTTGTGAGGGAGGAAGAAATGGCTGCCACATGCAATTAAAATTTCCTATTGTGGGAGTTGGATATTAAAGCACTGACCTTTCTGAGGATGCCTGATCATGCTGAACATGTATGATTGAAATGGGTTCTACAGTTTTAGTACCAGGGAGACCAGACAAAAGATCACAAGACACTTGGTGCAAAACGAATGACAAATATTTAGAGTGAAGCAGAGATTATATATCTCTTGCCTTAAGAGCAGGATCACCACAAATTAAAGTATTCCTACAGCTTCTGTTCTTAAAATTTACAGGATTCCTGTTTGTAAAAAAGAAATATGTGAAAAGTGTAACTGCTGTGTACTAATATGTACTGGAACATGCTTTACAAAAATTTAACCCACAAAACACTACTGGGTCACATCCAGACACACACACTTAAAGTACATGCCTTCCCCTTAAAAATCCTGGGTAATTTGTTAAAGGTTCTGGGAAACGTAGTTCTGGTTAGAGGTAAACTACAGTTCACAAGACTCTTGAACAGAAGCAGTAAACTTTAAATGTGTGGTGTGGATGAGACCGGGCAGATACTACGGTTCATATTCTGCTTTTTCATATCTCTTTCTTGTGTCCTAGGATATCGTTATTAAATCAACAGTGTACCAACTCTAGAGTACAATCCTCAGCATATTTCTCAAAAAGTAAATACCACTAAACTCAGTGAAACTAACTTCTAAGGAAACATGCTTCAAATCAGGCTGAAACATTTATTTATTTCATAAAAGTTAAATGCCATTTGAGTGTAAAAACAAAACCCTCAAATAGATTTACAAAAAGATAAACAATAAAATAAAGATTTACAACCGTATTTTAAAACATACAAACCCTAAAATAGTAAAACAGATTAAAATTACCTCAACTTTCTAGGCATTTTGGTAGGCCTGGAGAAACAAGAATGCTTTCATCAGGCACCAAAAAGAGTGCACTGAAGGCGCCTTCTTGATCTCAATAGGCAGGGAGTTCCAGAGTGTAGGTGCTGCCACACTAAATGACCGAGTTCTGACAAATGCAGAATGAGTTATTATGATAAACATATTTCACATATGCAGAAAAAAATGTGTTATATTATGATTTCAAAATGCAGGTGGCAGATTACCTGTATGAATGCTGTTCTTTCGCATTAAAAAGCACCGCCTCCACCAAAAGATCTTGTTGCCAAGAGAGGATGTCCCTCTGCTGCTTTGGGTGCTTTTCCAGCACTGTGACTCAAAAACACCCTTTTGCCTGAAAAGGACTTGGTATGATGGACCAGCCGGATTGGAAGTGTACTTGTTCTTTATTCATATGGACTAGGGAGTGAGCCCACCCTCTAATTTGAAAAGTGTGTCCTGAGGTTGTACATAAAAACTGCTTTTGCGCATAGAATGATCAAGCCTCATTGTGTACCTACTGAATTGGCCATTCAGTGCCATAAAGAGGAATGGCATTGTACAGAGTGGTACAACCATTGCAAACAAACCTAGGAAAATCCCTGAGTTCTCCACCCTTCCTGGGTTCCTGCCTGCCCTCCACAGTTTTTGCCCCCCAACAGAGGCATGGTTGCAAGGGGAAGTGACCTTCCCCTAGATCACTATTTCAGTGAAATTGTCTCATACATGTGTGTTCCAGAAAAACTAAATGTGAAGAAGTAGTTTGAAGGTGTGTTTAAAAACCCATGTTCTTAGAAAGCATTGTCACAGCTTTCCTGCATGTAGAAAACTAACAAAACAGTGAGGCCTGAACTTTTTCTGTGCCCCTCCTGTACCTTGGATCCCGAACGCCTTGTAAGTCAAACGTTTTGGCTCCTGAATGCAGCAAACTGGAAGTGAGTGTTCCAGTCTGCGAACGTTCTTTGGAACCCAAACATCCAATGGGGCTTCCGCGGCTTCTGATTGGCTGCAGGAGCTTCATGCAGCCAATCAGAAGCCACACTTTGGTTTCTGAACGTTTTGGAAGTCGAATGGACTTCTGGAATGGATTCCGTTCGACTTCCAAGGTACGACTGTACTGTTTTTTTCTACTGGCAGGGAGTTTTTGAATGGTCAGTTTTTGAACAGGGGAAATAGGCACACAATCTGTACATTGTATTTTGAAGTATCTGAATCACAGAAGGGAAGTACCATCGGGGGCGGAGGAAGGGGGTGGGGTGGGTGCGGACCACCCAGGGTGTCACCACTGAGGGGGGCGACAGAATGACATGCGGCACTCACCGCGGGGCCTGCAGTCACCCGAACCACACGTCTCTCCTGGGAGAAGCGCCGTGGCTTGGGCTTATGAAGGCTCCATGCTGCCCAAACGGTCCACCCACTGCCTCCCCCCCCCCAGCTGTAGGGCAGCTGAATGGGAGGAGGCAAGCAGACTCCAGAGGCTCTGTGGTGCGCCCCACCCCAGGTGCCTGAGCGACTTCCTCCACCGCTGAGTACCACAGGTGGGTCTCCCCCCCCCCAATAACACATGCATAGGTTCGAAACAAAGAGAAATATCCTGGGTGTTACTCAAGAGTGATGGCACTCTCGCCAAAAGCCCAAAAATTATATCTGGAGCTGAAACAGCATTTCAGTACAGAAGTGAATTTGACTTAAGAGAAGTGGGAGTAAAGGACTTCAGAGTTATATTTTTACCTGCCAGTTTGACGGGGTGGGGTGGGAATCTGAAGGATGCATGAAATCGAGCTCCTTCCTCTTCCTAGTGTCTGTGACCAGGCTGCTTCTCCCTCACGCAGACAAGCTCTTTCCCCCTTAGTTCACTCTATTTTCCATGCTATTTCCTTTCCTCTCTTCCACTAAGGATGAGGAATCTGTGGCTCTCCAGATGCTGTTGGACCACAACTCCCATCAGCCTCAGCCAGGATGGCTAAAGGTCAGGGAAGATGGGAGCTGAAGTCCAACAACATATGGAGGGCCACATGTTCCCCATCCCTGCTTGTATCAAATCCTTACTCCTCTCTTTCACCATCCTCAGAGCTCGTTCCTCCTCCTCCTTTCCCTCCACTGCATGTCATCCAGCAATTTCCCACTTTCTAATGTATTCCCCCACCCTGATACCAACATCTGGGCCAGTGCTGCCAGCCATCCAGACAACACAAAGTGACAGACAAAAATACAAAAGAAACAGGACTCCTAATCTCACTTTAGGCTGCAGGAAATGCTGATTTCCCCTCTCCTCCTGAGCT